TTCCCGAGTTGAAAGTTGCGGACAAGTTGCTGCGGACACACACACACACAAACACACACAGACAACAATACGCGTTTTGTACTGCTGTTACACAGCACAAAACGCATAAAAAGAAATGCTAATGATGAAAGAGGTAGAGGGGGATATGGGAAGGGAGTACGGTAGTGAGTCATCATTCGAAAAGGAAGAATGTTATATAAAAAAAACTAGTAGAAATGTTTACACAGAATTATATTTACACATACAATTATACTTGCTCTTACTTGTTTTTATTATTTTTTTTTTTGGCTTTTTTTGTTGTCTGATTTTTTCGCTCATTTATTTTTATATCTTCTTCGGTATTTCTTGCTTTATTTTTTTCCTCGTTTGTTGGTTCAACAGTGCCTTTGTTTAGGGAGAAGTAGAACAGATTGCGTTGATGAAACCGAAAGCACTGAACGAAAATGACGATGGTATGTTGGAATATTTGGAGGATATTGTCGGTTCTAGTAGACTCAAGGTTGGTGCTTCTCGCTTTTACGGGTCATCTTCAACGCTCGCCATTCCTGACAGTCTCAATTCCATGCACATCTTCACGCAGCTCCTTTTCCTCCATTCATTCCTTAGTTTCCAGTATGGTGATGCTTTGTGTCCTATTTTTTTTGGTTTTCTTTTTTTTTAAACATTTTCCTTGTTACCAGTTCAACATTAAAATTTAGTCTTTTAATCCTCCATAAGTTGAATTATTACTTTTATTTTGCTTTTCAATCTTTTATTTTTTGGGTCAGATTTTTTTTTGAATAATATTTTGATTGTTTTCAATCCCATCTCCGATATGGCTGGTCCAGGTGCGGCTGAAAACCCCTGACAATGTTCGCGTATAACTTGGTATTTCGTGAAATTTCCTTTGTATAACTTGGCATTTCTTAAAATTTCCACAGATCGTTCGCTGTTTTCCGTTAAGGTTCCGATCGAAAAACTCCAGCAAAAGATTGACCAGTTGCAAGAGGAACGATCGGCTCAGCTAAATCGCATGAAATTTGCGGAAAAAGAGAAAACTGACGCCGAAGGTCCGATGAAAAATCTGATTACTGAACTGCGCGTTGACAATGGCATTGCACTTGCTAAGAATCGCTTGCACCAAGCAGAACGGTGATTTTTGTTTTCGCTGGATTTTAAGAAAATTTTGGAGTTTTTTTTTTTTTATATGGAAATAATATTATCTTTTTTTTTTGCGGAAATTCAACCACAGTTTTCAGAATTTTTCGATTTCGGATTTTGAAGCTAAGGAGATAACAAAGTTAGAAGTTAGCACGGAAATATTCGTATAAAATGGGATATTTAGCTTCCGGGGAAGTAAATTCCACCCTTATTTTTCATCCTTTTTGTCTTTTTTCTCTTTATTTGTTTAATATCGGCATTTTTGTGCTAAATTTTCTTGCGTCCAATCCATTTTTATGCGTTTTTGCCGTGCAGCGCTAGAGCGCTGCAACAGGCAGCAAAAACGCATATTG